AAGTCAGAAGCCTGAGGATCAGCAGTGGGGCTCCTGGTGTGGGAGAGGCTGAAGAAGCTCCTAACTTCAGCCTGGCCCAGCCCTGGCCATTGTGGTCATTTCGGCAGTGAACCAGTAGACAGAAGACCTCTCTCTGTCTCTCCCTCTTTCTCTGTGTAACTCTGTCTTTCAAATAAATAAAATAAATATTTTTTAAAAAAGAAAAAACAAGGTAATATGCCTACTTTCTCTTAACTACCATTCTATTGGTGGTCTGACCTAGTTTGATTAGGCAACACGTGAATACAAAACACGTAACAATTAAAAGGAAAAAGAAACTGAAGTTACTAGAACTAATACGTGAATTTAAATACAAATAATAAAATGTATATATTAAAATTTTATAATAAAAACACAAAATCAATTGAATTTTTACATATTAATAGTAAACAATTTTTCAAATTAAAAAGTTATTCCATTAACAATAGCAGTAAAACTAAAATACTTAGAACAAATTAAATATCTGCAAAACCTCAATGATTAAAATTAAAATACTGATATGAGCAATTAAATAACATCTAAATGAATATATAGATATACCATTTCTGTGTTTTGAAAGACTCAGTGTTGTCAATTTTTCCCAAATTGATCTAGTGTTTTATTGTAATTAATCATAATCCTAGCAGACATTTTCATGAGTATAACAATCTGATTCTAAATTCATGTGGAAATGCAAAGACCTGGAATAGCCAAAATAATCATGAGATAAAAGGACAAAGGCAGAGAGTTTATACTATTTAACTTCAGAGTTTAATATAAATTATAGTAATGAAGGTCTGTGACACTGGCAACAGGATCAGACTAATAGAATAGAATAGAGTTGAAACAGACCAGCTCACACATAGTTATTTCATTTCAAACAAAGGTGACAAAGCAATTCAGGGAAGAAAAGAAAAGTTTCAAGAAATTATACAGGAAATTTAGTAATCCACGCAGAAACAAAAGAATTATAAACTTTACCTCAATAAGGTAAATCATTGAACTAAACATAAAAGTTTAAAACTAGAGCCATGACCACAGCTGTTCTAAAAGAAAAACATAAGACTGTCCTAGCTTCAGGGTAAGCAATGATTTCTTGGACAGAACAGACATGAAAGCACCAGGGGCTGTGTTGTGCTGCTGCTGTGACCCTGGCATCCCACATCAGAGTGCCAGTTTGAGTACCTGCCACTCTGTTTCCAATCCACCTCCCTGCTAATGTGCCTGAGAAAGCAGCAGCAGATGATCCAAGCACTTGGGCGCCTGCCACCCATGTGAGAAATACAAATGCAGTTTCAGCAACCTAACTTTGGTCAGGCCCAGCCTCAGCCATTGGCGAGTGAACCAGGAGGTGGAAAATTCTCTCTCTCTTTCTGTCACTCTGTTTTTCAAATAAGTAAATAAAGTCTTTTTAAAAAGAAAATGAAAGCATGACATAAGTTTAAAAAAGTAAAAGATAAGTTAAACTTCAACAAAATTAAAAGGATTATAAAACACAAAATGAATTGGAAGCCACAGACTGGAAGAAAATATTTGTAAATCATACATCTGATAAAAACATGCATCCAGAATATGCAGATAATTGCTACATTCATTGAGGAAGATGCCAATTCATGTAAAAACAATGGTAATGAACTTTAACAGACACATAACAAAGGAAACATGCATGTCCAATAAGCATGTGTTAAAGTTTCCAATATTATTAGTCATCAGAGACAAATTAAAATCCCATGCAGATGCTACTATATTCACAACTAGAATGGCTAAAGTTTAAAATACAGAAAACACCAAATTTGGTCAAGATGTGAAACAAGTGGAACTCTTAAAAATTGCCAATGAATGCAAAATGGTACAACCATTTTCAGAAGAGATTTGGTAATTTCCCATAAAGTTAATCATAAACCTTACCCAGAAATTCTACTCCTAAATATTTTCCATGAAGATAGTAAAACATATGTCCACAAAAAGTCATGAACAAGAGCATTTATAACTAGCAAACCCAACAAAAAATCCAAATATTCTTTAATATGTGACTGAATAAACAAACTGTGGTAATCCAAACAGTGAAAAGCTGTGCACAATATTGATACACTGCAAAATATGGATGAATCTCATTGATATTATTCCAAGTGAAAGAAGCCAAATACAAAGAATCCATTGCAAGAATCTATTCATGTGAAATTTTTGAACACATAAAAAATATCTACTTTGAAAATCTATAGTGATAAAAATTCAGGGGTGGGGGGAACTAGAAGAGCACTTGCCTTTGGCAGGGGTAATGTGAAAGAAAATGGTATACAGTGAAGAGATATTCTAAATTTTGGAAGTGGGGTAGCTTACATGGGAGTATCGTTTGTCAAAATTAATCAAAGTGTCTACTTAAGATTAGCACATTTCAAGTATTTGAATTTTACCTAAAAGATAATGAAGTTGAAACAAATACTAACCTTAGTAGCATTGCTTCTTTCAATGGGTTAGCAATTCTAAAACTATCTTCTAGCTATCCTAATTTTGAGCAAATACATAAAGGTATTGGGAATTATAAAAACTTGGCATTTCATTGTTAGTGAAGGTAGTTAGAAACATTGTAACTGTAAAGCTGTATAGTTCTGCATACATTCCTATGGCCTTAATTCTAAGTGTACAATTTAAAAACTTACCATGGTATCACAAATCCCATTAAGCTGGGTGATAAAAATGCCATCACAAGTGTTAAAGTGATCATATAGATAGCATTAAATGTTAAAGGGATCATATAAATAACTTGTGTTGAATTGGAATCAGAGTTACAAATATGAACTCAGGTTTTCAATATCTTGGAACAGATTTATATAGAGAGATAGAATACTTATAGGTGTGGAAATACAGATACATGTATTTGGATCTATGTAAGTGTGTGTATGTTAAAGAGTCAGTGTATAACTTCCTACAAGTGCCCACTCACAGGGCCTGGAAGAGTCTCCAGCAGAGTGCACGTGTTACCCAGATCACTGTTCTGAATGTCTTTTCCCCAATAAATGAAACCTGGGTCCCTTGGAGAGATGCCGATTCTAAGATCACAGCAGGAAAAATGCAAAATGAATCTGGAGCATCTACTTGTCTACTTCAGAATGCAGGCAACAGGTGGGACTGGGTCAGACAGAAGCCAGGAACCAGGAACATCATTTGAACTTCTCCAGGAGTAGCAGGGACTCAACCACATGAGACGTCATCTGTTGCCTCTCAGACTTGAGCATCAGCAGGAAGCTGGCTCAGAAGAGGAGGAGCTGGGACTTGAACCAGGCGTTGGATATGGAATGCAGGCATCTCAAGCTATACAACAATGGCTACCCTTTTTGCCTCATTTTTAAGAAATTTTACCCTGTGAAATTCTGCCTCAAAATCTGGCCTTCTAGAATTTCTTGTTTCAATGTTTGCTATTATCATCCATCAAGTTACTCAATCCAGAAGCTTGGGAGTTGTGCTTGACCTCTCTTTTACAGTATTTATATTCAACCAGTCACTAAGCCCTGACCGTTTCTTCCCAAAGAGCTTCTGTATTTTTCCTCCTTCAGTCTCCTCTGGCATTATCTCTGTGGAACAGAAGTCTAATAACCCTTCTCTAGGAATCTCCTTAGTTCTTACAAATCTCTTGCATCAGAATGCAAATTGGATCATGCCACTCTTCTGCTTTCTTTTGAAGTCTTCTCCATGCTGTCAGAGGAGACCAAATCCCAAACATCTTCCATAATTGAACCTTGCTCTGCGGCTTCTTCCCTGTACCCTCTTACTCTTTATTCTAGCCACAGCAACCTCTGTCATTTCCATGTTTATTGTCACTTTGGAGTCTCATTGACTATGTTCCCTGTACCTGAAACGTTCTTGCCTCTTTTTGGTTAATATTTAAACTAAATTCATATTATTTTTTATTTTATTAATTTTCAAAGATTATATCTATTTATTTGAAAGCAGAGTGACAGGGGGCAGGGTGGAGATAAGGAGAAAGAGATTTTTCCATCTGCTGGTTCACTCCATACAAGGGCCACAACAGCCAGATCTAGGCCAGGCTAAAGCCAGGAGCCAGGAACTCCATCCTGAACTCTCACAAGAGTGGCAGGCACATAGGCACTGGGCCATCGTCTTTTCAGGCACATTAGCAGGAAGCTGGACTGGAAGTGGATCAGCTGGGACTTGAACAGGCACTTCAATATGGGATGCTGACACTGTAAAGAGCAGCTTAACCTAGTTCACTACAGTACCAGCTCTTTACTTAAAAAAATTGTTATTTATTTATTTACAACTTTATCTGAATGCAGAAGAGGGAGAGGGAGATCTTCCATCACTGGTTCATTCAGCAAATGCCTACAAAAGCTTGGGCTAAGCCAGGCTAAAGCCAGGAGTCAGGAACTCCATCCTGGTCTCCCACATGGGTGGCAGAGACTCACCCACTACAGCCATCACCTGCTGTCTCCTAGGGTTCACATTAGCAGGAAGCTGTAATCAGAAGCAGAGCTGGGACTTGAGTCCAGGCACTCCTGTATGGTATACCAACTATCCATGGGCTCCCCTTGGCTAGCAGCTCCCCCCGCCCAGATCTCATCCTAAAAGGCCCTTTTATCAGAGAATTCTTCCCTAATTCCCAGCCTAGGTCATGTGCTCTGCACTTTTACATCTACTATAGTATATCCACAAAACATATGCCAGAAACAAAAGTCAATTCATGAGATTTCATATTTTTCCACCACCACAACCCCTAATGAAATCTCTTGCCAGACACTAACTTAATTTACATTCATGATAAAACAGATCGAAGAGAGAAAAAGGTAGGAATCTGAGGTCAAAGAGCTAAAACTTCTCAGGCTGAGGGCCAGAAAGAGCTTTGGGAAAATCAATTTCTACCCATTAATAGATGCTGAGGGTAATACTGAGAATGTTAAGTTCAGGGGAAGATCTTGAAGATCTGCTGTGCAATTAGAACTGACTCTGTTCTGCCTAATTTCCAGAGGCTGCAAGAAAAGATTTGGGTTGCTTTCCTTTCATCTTTGCTGCTGGACGACCCAAGAGAGTGGCCGAATTACATGATTTCTGCACATTGAATATTAACTTAATGGCTGTGTCCTCTCCCCCCCTCCACTTGCAATGCGGACTTTCTGAGGTCAGTGTCCTTGTTGGTTTTGGTCACTGTATGTCTTGTGTTTGCACAACTAGTAACTGAATCAATATTGGCTGAATAAATACATAATTTAGAGTAATTTGCTTATCCTCTCCAAATGTCAGTTAGGGTGTCACTTCAAACTTCTCAGTTCTTTCCATAGAAATAGCACCAATTGCAGCAAAGGAAAAGCATTAACCTCTGATCCCTAACCCTCAAAGTCTGGGGCGTATGAAGCAGCCATTGATGGTACTGATATTTCTGTGGTGTTTCTGTGAAGTTTCATGTTCCATCTCAAGAACTTGTGTCATGACTGATTTTAAAATTTTAAATTTTTACACTCCATACCATTAAATAGTAATATTTTAAACTAATTTTATCTCGAATCTTCTGTAAAAATGATTGGCATTGTACTACTATGACCCCAAGAGTTCTGCACGCTTCAAGCCTGTTTGAGAAACACAAGTATTCATTAAAGGAACTATAAGGCTCCCATTTACCTGGGGGTTTTATGATTCTTTCATTTTAACAAGGAGAAAAGCTAATATTTACTGTGTCCCTTTCATGTTCAATCACAGGGTAAAACATAAGGAACAATGAGATGGCTTTAAGGAGACTGAGTTGTGACGTTACCCACACAAAAAGATACCATTATACGGCAGTACAAAGTGAGAGCCAAGTGAGCAGAGCAGTCTGTCAGTGCAGAAGGACTAAGAGGGCCAGAGTCCACTGAGCCTCAGATTTCTCATCTGTCACATGGGGTAACAACGCTCCAGTGAGGCTCCCTCAAAATGCTTGTGAAAAATTGAATTATAAAGTTTATTTTGCTGCAAATAAATTCTAAAATCTATGCATAGCTGCATAGCTTTTTTTTAAAAAAAAAATTTATCTGAAATGCAGAATGACAGAGCAAGAGGCAGAGAGAGAGAGAATAAATCTTCCATCAGCTTGTTCACTCATCAAATGGCTGTAGCAGTGAAGGGTGAGCCAGGCTGAAGCCAGGAGCCTGGAACGCCATCCTGATCTCCCATAGAAGTGGTGGGGACCCAAGTACTAGCGCCATATTCTGCTGTTTTCCCAAGCACACCAGAAGGGAACTGGATGGGAAGTGGAGTGGCCGGGACGCAAACCAGTGATCCAATATGGGATGCCAGCGTTGCAGATAGCAGCTCAACCCATTGTGCCACATGCCGGCCCCATGGTTTATTCATAATGCACATTTTTCATTAACTTTCATTAACTTTCTGAAGACCCCTTGTTTGCATGGACTGACTGTTAACGAACAACTTAATACATTATCCCTCTTAGTAGTTTTTTTGTCTGTTCTACTTAATATGACTGATTTAATTCTGTAATTAATACACAGTTATTCTTATGTGTTGAAATTTAACTGAAATGTGATCCCTGTTAAACATAAGAGTAGGAATAAGAGAGGGAAGAGATATATAATTTGGGACATGCTCAAGCTGACTTGCCCCAAATGGTAGAGTTAGAAACATACCAGGGGACTCCAATTTAATCCCATCAAGGTGGCATGTACCAATGCCATCTCACTAGTCCCAGTGATCAATTTCAGTTCGCAATTGATCATAATGAAAGGACTAAGAGTCAAAGGGAGCACATAAGCAAGTCTAGTACCTGCTAACACTAACCGATAGAATAAATAAAGGGGAGAGTGATCCAACATGGGAAGTGAGATACTCAGCAGACTCATAGAATGGCAGATGCCCTAAATAGCACTCTGGCCTCAGAATCAGCCCTAAAGGCATTCAGATCTGGCTGAAAAGCCCATGAGAGTATTTCAGGCATGGAAAGCCAAGACACTCTGGCAAAAGATCTCTGTGAGTGAGATCTCAGTGGAAAGAACAGGTCTTCAAAGAAGGAGGTACCTTTCTCTGAAGGGAGGAGAGAACCTCCACTTTGACTATGACCTTGTCTAAACAAGATAAGAGTCGGAGAACTCAAGGGGCTTCCATAGCCTTGGAAACTCATGACTGGAGCATAGGGAGATTACTGATGCCATAGACAGGAGTGTCAATTGGTAAAGTCAACAACAGGAGTCACTGTGCACTTACTCCTCATGTAGGATCTCTGTCCTTAATGTGCTGTGCATTGAGATTTAATGCTATAACGAGTACTCAAATAATATATTTCACTTTGTGTTTCTATGGGGGTGCAAACTGTTGAAATCTTTACTTAATGCATACTAAACTGATCCTCTGTAAAAAAAAAAAAAAAAAAAGAAAAGAAAAGAAAAGAAACTATCAACTCCCAACTTGACTCTCACTGGGATTAAACATGACAATAGGTCTGATCTGATTTCATCATCATTAAAAAAAATCATCTATTATTTTTCACTTTATGTTTCTGTGTGGGAGCAAACTGTTGAAATCCTTACTTAATGTATACTAAGCTGATCTTCTGTATATTAAGATAATCGAAAATGAATCTTGATGTGAATGGAAGGGGAGAGGGAGTGGGAAAGGGGAGGGTTGTGGGTGGGAGGGACGGTATGGGGGGGAAGCCATAGTAATCCATTATTCGTACTTTGGAAACGTATATTCATTAAATAAAAGTTAAAAAAAAATTTTTTTTCACCCAAATAAATGTATCTTTTAATTTCATTTTCCACAAACTTTTTGATGTACCTTCATACCTTTCATTTCACAGAGCAGTTATGAAGCTCAACAGAAAAAAATACCAGAATATAAATGAGAAATAGTTTCATTAAGTGATAGAAGGGTTTCAGCTAGATGATGGAATTTAAGATTTCGGTATGAGGGGCTGGTACTGTGACATAGCAGGTTGAGCTTATAGTGCTGGCAGCCCATGTAGGCACCAGTTCGTGTCTTGGCTGCTCCACTTCTGATTCAGCTCTCTGCTATGGCCTGGGAAAGCAGTAGAAGATGGTCCAAGTGCTTGGGACCCTGCAACCATGTGGGAAACCCAGAAGCACCTGGCTCCTGGCTTCAGCTCATCCCTACTCTGGCCCTTGCAGACAATTGGGGAGTGAACCAACAGATGGAAGATCTTTCTCTCTCTCTCTCTGTAACTCTGCCTCTCAAAAAAATAAATAAAAATCTTTAAAAAAAAGATTTGTGTATGAAAGATGTTGACAGACAAGCACTGAGAATGACCTGCCTGAAGTAATGGAAGGTGAACTACACCACAAAGACACAGAAAACTAAAATTAATCTTCATGGAGCAGGATGCACAATTGAGGATGATAGCTCTCAAAAAGCAGTGTACTATGGGCCTTGACTCCTAAAGGAATTTAGAAACACTACTGTGGATTTTATTTTAAAAAGATAAGCCCTTTGGTATGATTTGGATCATATTTTGAGACAGCTGGGAACATTTTGGCGCAGACAAAAGGGCTATTTTAAATACTTCAACTCCTTTAAAGAATATTAAGGAGAGAATTAGAGATACTAGATAATTGCTTGCAGAGACCAAGTGCCAGGCTCATAAAATCTCCAAAAGAGTGAAAAAAGGAGTTGTATTTTTTAGGGGAAAATGAGTTGACATTATTCCAGATGTAGGAGAATGGAATGGAAGTAAATTCAAAAAGGAGTTTCAGCGTAACTCTTGATGGGACGGTAAAAGCAAGCAGCCTTTAGTATAATGTGGAATAAATTCCAGCCTTACTGAATGGATAACACATGGCCCAAATCCTACTGATACTAAATCAGTACTATATGATGAAAACGTGACATTTGTGGAAGTCTGAGCTTTCCGAATGTGACTGAGGAGAAATAGTAGCTGGTAATGATGATAACGTTTGATCATTTAAATAGAATTTTTGAAAATCAACTAAAAAGAAAATACACTGTTAGTACACAGTATTAGAGTTTTATTTAATGGAAGCATCCAAATACAAAACAAATCTCTCTTTTAAGAAATATGTCCCTTTTGCAAAAATGTGGAAAATATCACAGAAGTTAATATTCACAGCATGTACATTTGAGTGCTATTGAAGATGGCTGCATTTGAATTATGCAACAATTTGTATAGAAAAGAAGGCAGGAGGCCAGCGCCATGGTGCACTAGGTTAATCCTCCGCCTGCGTTGCCAGCATCTCATACGGGCGCCAGTTCTAGTCCCGGTTGTTCCTCTTCCGATCCAGCTCTCTGCTATGGCTTGGGAAAGCAGTAGAAGATAGCCCAAGTGCTTGGGCCCCTGCATCCGCATGGGAGACCAGGAGAAAGCACCTGGCTCCTGGCTTCGGATCGGTGCAGTTCTGGCCATAACGGCCATTTGTGGGGTGAACCAACGGAAAGAAGACCTTTCTCTCTGTCCCTCTCTCTCTCACTGTCTTTCTCTGTCAAGTAAATTTAAAAAAAAGAAGAATAAGGAGACAAAGAAGTGCATCTATTTTCTGGTGTTTGTATGAGGGTATTTCAAAAAGTTCAAGGAAAAATGGAATCCAAAGATAATGTGTGGAGCCAGCATCTCGGTGCAGCAAGTTAAGCTTCCACCTGGGACGCCTGCCTCCCATATCAGAGTGTGAGTCCCAGCTACTCCGCTTCCTCATAATACATCCTTAGGAAGGCAGCAGCTGGAGGCTCAAGTTCATGTGCCCTGCCACCCATGTGGGAGACCCAAATAGAGTTCCTGCTCCTGGCTTCTGCCAGGCTCAGCCCTGGTATTTGGGGAATGAACCAGAAGATGGAAGATCTCTTTCTCCACCCTCCCCCTCTCTGTCTTTCTCTCCTTCTCCCTTTTGCTATGCTTTTAAATAACCAATAATAAATAAACATTAAAAAAGAGAAGTCCTTTTTAATTATAGAAAATATGCAAAATGTCCTAAGCAGGATCTGAAGACATCATCTGTAGAATTTTTGCTTCACAAAGTCTCAGGTGATCAATCCCTCAACACCATGCCCAGCACTGCTACTTGTGATGAATAACACTAGATGCTTCTCTACCAACAGGTTTCGGATCTGGTTTAAACAAGTAAGACTCCCTTTTTGATGGGTGATCTGTTTTGATGTTTGTCCTAA